AAAAAAAAAAAAAAAAAAAAAAAGAGGTCCTCCCAACCACAAAAAGGATAGATGGAAACTCATACAATCCCCTCTATGAAAACGCCGCTATGGCCGTTTACAACGAAAAAAATGGATCTCTACCAGGCCTCATGCCCCCATCAGGCTAGGTTCTAGAGTTGCACCACCTTGCTCCAGCCTTCGGCCCGCATTGCGCCAGCTCCAACCCCGATGACCGCTGAGACTGCCCCCACTAACAGCCTCCCAGATCTCTTCCAGGCCTCACGCCCCCCTTAAGCTAGGTGACAGAGTTGCACCACCTCGCTCCGGCTCTGGCCAGCGTTGCTCCAGCATCGGTCTTTGAGGGTGCCGCTGTATTACAACCAAACTCAGCAGGATCACAGATGGGTTGCTGGATACCACCTATTCCTTTAAAAAAAAAAAAAAAAAAAAAAAAAAGGATACCACCTATTCCTGGCACCTCCTCGAAACGCAAAACCAATTAAAGAGAATTGAGAAATAAAGCTAGACTGGATGTTTAAAAATTTTCGAAAGACGATCACCCCTCCCTCCCCATACCCCTCCCCCCTCAGCCCTACACTGCCTCCGCCGAGGCGAGCCTCCCGCTCTCCCTCGGCCCCAGTCCATTGAACCTGCACTTGCTATAAAAGAAAAAAAAAAAACAAAAGAACTTGAAAACATGACCCTTGAGCGCCAGGACCAATCCTCGACTGGAAAAAAATAAAATAAAAAAAAATTCATTGTTTCCTTGCCATGTAGGCTCCAGACCTTGAAACCCCCAGTGACCTCGCCACCCACCCTTGCAAATTTCCCCTTTTTTGAAACTTTTTCGTTTTTCAAACTTTATTATACAAGTTGGGAACCTCCCTTACAGAAGTGCACAGGGCAGGTGGACCCTTGATGCAAAATGTGGAAACATTTCAGACTTCCTAATCGACGTAATTAGGGAGGGATAGAAGGATGCTCCCGTCCCGGGTTGTATAGCGAAAGTTGGTCGTCACCCACGAAAGTGACAACAAACCCTGTATTCCAAGATGTACAAAGGGACGCTGGACCCGGTTTCCAGCAGTTGCCGCTCCCCACCAATAGATGGAGCAGCCCGAGAGATAAGCCCTCAATCCTGACGGTTCTCTCACCACCGCCGGGATAGTGGGCTTACGCAGGGGCTATTCTTAAAAAAAAAAAAAAAAAAAAAAAAAAAAAAAAAAAAAAAACGAAGGATGCTCCTGTGAAAATACTTGAGTTTCAAGTGGTGTTGAACGAGGCCCTGTGATGAATGTGCCGGGTTCTATACTAGAATGAATCAGCATGGCCCCTGTGCGAGGATGACGCATAAATCGAGAAATGGTCCTAATTATTATTACTAAAAAAAAAAAAAAAAAAAAAAAAAAAAAAAAAGCGATGAAGATGAATGTACTGGAGCCACTTTCACTAGGAAATTGGATGGCTGGGGCCACTTCTCAAACAGGAAAAAGGAACACGCGAGAGCACGTCGCGCGGTGGTTTAGCGCTGCGGTCCGAGACCTCCGGGCAGGACGTACAACCTGAGGCCGTCATACCCAGGTCGTCTTGCCACCCGCGACGGCCATAGTCTACCATAGGCTATGGAGTCTGTCTAACGCCACCATCCAATCGCGTTGGGAGCGGGGGCGGCGTGCTCACAAATACGCTATATATCACTTGATCGGCGCGTCTGACGCGCTCGGTCTCAAGGTGCGAAACTTGTGGATACAACTCAAGGTGCGAAACTTGTGGATAGAACTTCTTCGCAATCGATCATCACTTTTACTATCATTCTGGTCGGGGGTGAACTCCTTCGATCATTCATGCGACTGTCTTATACTCCATTCTGGTGAAGGAGGACATGGCATGACAGATGATGTGGACGGACGTGGTGATGGCTGACGTGGCGCTGAAAATTTTTCATAGTCTTGAAAGTGGACAAGACTACAAGCATCTATCGAACGTTGATAGAACTGTGAGAAGCGACACTTAGTAAGTCCCTTACTTCCCATCTCCTAATCTGATTTTACTCTCTCTTCCCTGTTGGAGCCGTCGCGAATCAGGATATACGGAAGGGGGAGACTATAGAATTTGGAGATGCAATTTTAGTCTTCTTTTTTAGGTCTGGGATCAAATATAGAATTACGATCGAGCTCTTAGACCTCTTTCCTTTTTCGTTTTAAGGCTCTCCTTTCCATTTGATAGAGTAGAAGAAGTATAAGTGAAAGAAAGGAGAAATAGTACAACTGACTCATCTGGACATACAACTGTGTGTTACCACGGCGCACGCTGTGGGATAAAGTTCTTAGACTTTCTTTTTCAAGCTTTCCTTTTTATTTCACCCGCCATCGCTTTTACTATCGCTCTGGCCGGGGATGAACTCCTTCGTTTTTGCTCATAGGCACTCATGCGATGATATTGTACTCAAATCTGATGATGGAGGGCGTAGCATGACAGATGACGTGGACGGACCTAGCGGTGGCTGACGTGGCGTTGAAAATTTTCAGAATCTTGAAAAGTGTACAAGACTACATGCGTATATTGAGTATTGATAGAACTGCGTGAAGCAACACTTAGTAAGCCCCTTCCTTCCCATATCTCGATCTATTTTCGTTCTCTCGTCCCTGTCGGAGTTGTCGTCAATCAAGGTATTCAGAAGGGGGAGACTACAGAATTCGGAAATGCAATTTTTGTCTTTTTTTTTAGGGCTGGGATTGAATATAGAATTACGATCGACCTCTTAGGTTTTTTTTTTTTTTTTTTCGTTTTTAGGTTTTTTTTTTTTTTTTTTTTTTTTTTTGTCGAGGTTATTACCAATTATCACTCCTTTTCTACTAAACATGCTTTTTGCAACCTTAGCTTTTCTCTTCAGAATAACTTCGTAGGACACTACTTTTCCAAGCCATATTAGGCTCTTCTTTGTAACCATCTCTTTCTCATCCCTGACCCTGTACATCATCCCCACGGATATCTAGCATAGAAAGTAGAAGACATGGCGGCTGAACAACAATCGACCATCTCGCCAGCTGAGGAGAAACAATTGAAAGACATGATTTCAAATTGCTTTCTCACCGGCGACGAGAACCCGGATCTGGCTCGAAAGTATATTTGATCTGGAATTAACCCGGCACAGAATACCTTGGAAATTCATCTGGACAATAAATATGAAAAACTCTAGATAAATTATCTCAAATCGCACGGGGTTATGGTGTTGTTTGTGGAATGCGGTCCGGATATGACTTTCCAAGAGAAAGAAGACTGGGTTAGACGGGCTGAGTCCAAATGGGACGATTCGTTGACTGGGGGATTGAATGGCAGAGTCAAACCAGAAGGGGCATCGGTGATATCTTATCTCGCCCCGACCACGCGGCTACGAGACTGGTTGATCAATGACTTGGGGGAAGGAAAGATTAAATGGCAGGGAGGGGAATACAAAGTCAGATTTCGCCCTTGGCTGACCCCCAATGAATTGAAACGGGATAGACAGGCTGAGCAAGAAGGGAGATACTGGATCAGGGTACTCAAAGTCCCCTATCTAGCCCTCAATTCATTACAAGCGGCAATTGAATCTCAATATGGCCGGGTCATTCGCGCCCAGCCTCTAGAGAAGCGCAAAAATGAACCGCGCCTGGTCAATTGCCGTTATGATTTGGAGATGGCGCCTGGTCACAGCACTGAGGGATTACTGAAACTCGAAGTCGTCACTCAAGATACCCCTTGGTGCTCAGTCCGCAAGTGGTATGGCCATCCTTCGGTCAAGGGTCGCTGTCTGGAGAACGTGCCGTCGGACCAGTGGCCAGACATTATCCGTCAGGCTGCGGAGGAAGTACCAACACAGGAACGGAATCCAGAAGGCCCCCTCAATGACGCAGAAATGAGGAATGCACGAGACACAGCGAAGAAAACAGACAAATGAACGAAATCTAGATTGAACGAATCCCGTGCGGCCAGAGGAGATACCTCATCCCCGTATCGCAGGTCTGGGGTTAGAGGGGGTGGGG